AGGCCCTTATAAAAATGAATAAATGCGCATATAAAAATGAATAAAGGCGTATATAAAAATGAATAGACGCGCATATAAGAATGAATAACCCTGTAATAATAGAGAAAAATTATTTGATGTAGTTATATCTAATAACATCTAAAGATATTATTAGATGTAATTCAACGACCCCTAATAAGATCTAAAGATGTTATTAGGTGTTGTTGAATATTTTAGATGATATTGAACAGATGTTGTTAGAGTAAAAAAAAGTCAGATGATATCTTGGAAAAAAGTGTACAGATGATATTAGACTCAGATCTTGTTGGACAGATGTTGTAATCTTTTACCCTTTCTTTCTACCTCCTACTTTTTTTTTTTTTTTTTTTTTTTGCTAAATGCTTATTAACAATATCCTTAGCAAAGAAATGACTTCAAACTTGAAAATATTACCTTAGCATTAAAGAAAAAGTAGGTTTTTGACATTTTTCAATTTTTAAATCACATTTTCAATAATAGCCCTACAATATTTATCTAAATCTTTATCACAGAGTGTTTTTTTCATCAAAATATCAATGTCTTTATTTTTAGCAACTTTCGACTGTTCTGTTTATAAAAGAAATAATTTTTCTGCTTTAATTAAAATTTGTTTAAACTCAATTGTAATGTCCGTAAGTTCACCACAATTAAGAGTGTTGACAAACTTTTGGTCACTTATATATTTTTTTGATTTCGACAGCTTTTTAATATAGATACTGTTTGTTGTAGTTGAGTATTATTAGTTCAAGAATTTTAAGTTTTTTAAAAATTTTTTTGAATAACATAATCTCCAAGATATTAAAATAAATACTTTTCCCTATCACATATTGTAGGTGTATTTAAGGTCTGATCGTTGTTAATAATAGATATATTTTTTTTATAATAAGCTGATATACTATCTGCTAGGTTGCTTAATAATAATGTAGCAGCATCTTCATAATCACCACCACAATTTAAGATTTCCTTACTGCGAATCACTAAATTCCCAAAATAACTAGCGTAAAACTCGTTTAAACTTTTAGAATAAATTAGTGCAGCTTTTAATAGTTATATTAAACTGTGTTTTACTACTAATCTGATGAGTTTTAACTTGCTCCATAATATGCCATAAAAGGAGCCTACCAAAATATCGTAAAACACATTTTGTATTAGGGAAAACAAAATCTCAATGTTAAAGTTTAATCCGAATAGTTAGCATTCCCAGCAGCTTTATCGTTGTTAGGGTGTTTGTTAGATTTGTGCAACTTTAGCCCTCCTTTACTTTTACACAAACATTACAATGGAATGCTCCAGGGTTAAGCTAAAAATAATTAAAAAAAAATATATTCATTTATCTTATTAAAAGTAAATTATCTAATCAAACTAATATTCAAATTAACAAAATTTTAACTCATGAAAAAGACGCTAAATTCTTGTGTATGTTATATACATAACAAATTTTTACATATGTAAGTAAGTTGCTTATACTGTATAAGCAACTCATAAGCATAAAGAAGTATATATGGTTTTTATGAGTTACACAAACAAACATTTACACTTTTAAAGGTACTCACATATAAAATAGATTCAGCATAACTTGATCTTTTTAGAGAGTTTCTAAAAGCATTTTAAATTCACTATCACAAATATTATCACAGTTTTCTCCTTCTACAATATCAAAATATCAAAAAATATCAAAAAATATAGGTGTTTTGTATAAAGCCAAGCAGTTTTTAAATCTATCTTGTTTAAAAAACTTATATTTTTCTTTAATTCATTGCTACTTAAATTATGCAAACGTTGCTTGGTGCAGCACAAACGCAACAAAAGTAAAAAAACTGTTTAGTAAACAAAAACAGGCTATAAGGATAATTACAAACGTAGACCGTTTCTCTCACACTAAAACATTATTTAATAAACTTAATATTCTAAATGTATATAAACTAAACCTTTACCATATTCTTATCTTCATGTTTAAACTTGATAAAAAAATATCACCAATGTTATTTAATTCACTTTTTGAAAAAATAAACCACATATACCCTACCAGATTTTCAAAAAACAATTACATTCAATCCAAAACACATTATTCAGCAACCAAATTCTCAATTGCAAATCGAGGTCCTAAGCTGTGGAATACAATATTAAATAATGAGCTGAAATCTAATTATTCTTTAAACCAGTTTAAAACAAAACTTAAGCAATTACTGATGATGCATGAAAATGAATTAAAGTTCTTCTAAAAAGCTTTTTAAACTAGCAAACAAAAACAAAAATTAACCTACTAATTACTCTTTATTATTATATTTAATATTCTAAACAATAGTCTGCTATTGTAAATGTATTTCTTATCTTATAAGTTTTGAATTTACAAACGGTTTTTTAAGTTTTATTATTTGAAATACTAATTACTAAAAATATTGTAAAATTTTATAATTTCAATTTTTATTAAAAAAAGTTATTGTAAATTCTTTTTGAAATATTAATACTTATATATCATCTTATTTTACTAATCAGTTCTTAAATATAAACACTCTTTGAATTACTAAATATTTTAAACGTTATATATTTTATTTTTTACATTTTGTTAAAATATTTTATTTGATGAATATGCATTTTTTTGGGGGGGCTTAATGATAAGATGAATTTTGTCTTCTTCAAGCCCAAGTCATGTAAATATTTGTTTTTATAAATTACGAGTGTAAATTATTTTCAATCGGCAAATACAATACTAAAAAAAAATACAGCCATTAGGCCGGGTGAATAAAAACGAGCAATTGCTTTTACTCAGTAATTGGTCAGCTTTACGTGAATAAAAGCTAAACCAATTTTATCTAAGTTTTTATTTATGTAAAGCCGAACAATTACTAAGTAAATTGGTTAACTTTACGTGAATAAAAATTTGAGCAAAACTTATAATGTTTTTATTCACGTAAAGCTGACCAATTACTGAGTAAAAGTAATTGCTCACCCGGCCTAATCTATATTAAATATAGAACTTTGCGGAAACTTTGCCTAACAAAAACTATACTAAGTTGAAAAAGCAATCACGTGACATTAAACGTGCACAATATACAAATTTTGTATATTGTGCACGTTTAATGTCACGTGATAGCATTTTCAACTTAGTATAGTTTTTGTTACGCAAAGTTCCGCGTTTCCATACTAGTCTAATTTAAAATCGAACATTTCGCTACATAATAAGAAAGAGTAATATATATAGGGTATAGAAAAGAAATATTCCTATAAATAAATATTTATTAAAGAAATAAAATTTTCTATCCATTATTTAAGTATTAGAGGTATCAACACAACAATTAAACTAATCTAATTACAAACTCCATGCAAGATAAATTGATTTTATTTTTCTTATACCTGTGGTTACATAATAAAAGTTTAACTATTTATTAAAAACTATTATAATTAATAAAATACACAAGGAATTTTATAAAAATTTCAAAATATTATTTAATATATATATATATATATATATATATATATATATATATATATATATATATATATATATATATATATATATATATATATATATATATATATATATATATATATATATATATATATCAATAATAAATGAATAACAGAGTCATATATAAAAATGTTCACTTTATTAATGCTATGTAAAACACAATATCAACAGCAGACATGCATTAATATATGGAAATAATATCATTTGCTTTTTCAGCATATAAAAACTGATAAGAAGCTCGTAAGCAAGCTGCATTGGTATATTTATCTTTAATGGTTTGGCAATAATGCTTGATGTTGCGCGCTTGACAGACTTATTTATAAGTCCTAGTGAATAATTATATAAAAACGAGGTTTAAAAAAAAAACATGGTATTGCAGTCTATTTCGATAAACAAGATTTTAAACTCTTGTATGTAACTTATAACTTGACAATTCAGCAACAATTAAAAAATTCTTCTCATCCACTAATTGCATTTGGTAAACAGAATGGTTTTTACGGTTTACATTTTCAATAGCTTTTTATAGTCTAAGTAGAGTAAATATTTTTGCACCAGAGAAAGATTTTTTATTTTAACAATAAATGTAATCACATTCTTAAATGGAGTGTATTGGCTTGCATAACTTTTACTCGATGACTTATTTTTTGGGAACAGCATAATAAATTGACGCAAAGCTGCTAACATGAATAAAATATTTTCAAGATTAATAAAAACAACTGCAGTTTTAGGATCAGCATTTTTGACAATCTTTTTCTGCTTGATCATTACTTGCATTGACAATGTTGCAAAATTCATAGCATGTGTCACATAAATCTTTCTTTGGTTATGAAAATTCTATGTTGAACTCGTGATTGAAGATATAACGATGTTTTTTCACTGCTGCATAGTCATTTTCAACACAATATATTTTAAAAAGATCTATGTATGTATGCAGTCTATATATATTAAGTAATCCTTTCATATATTCTTCATATGTCTTTTTTCTGCAATAATGAGCCTCAATTCTTGCGAAATGGTCTCGTACAACTTATTTAGAATCTTGTGGTGAGCTTCTTTTTTTCACATGTTTTTAAAGTTTGGCTGTATTAGCGTTCCAGTAGTTATGCATTTATTAAATTTGTAAAAATAAAAATTCTTTGGCTACTAATATTCAATGTTGAAAGATAATAGGATTTACAAACTCTATATTGTGTATTAGAAACAAAGAAGCTATGATAATAAAACATTAATCCGCTCGAATTTTCACCAGCAGCGTTTTTTCTTCAGATTTTTGGTAGTTGTTGAATAAAAATATATATTTTTAATATAAACAAAATAGAAAACATAGTGCAAAACTATTTAAAAATTACTAAAACTCAACTTTTTAAAAAAGTGGAGGACATGATAATTCTAACGTTGCGAAATTGTGTCTTTTATTAAATTAGTATTTAATTTGATTAGTATGAAATAGTAATAAATTTTAGGTAGACCCAGATAAGTTTGATGTCAAGTACTAAAATTTATTTTTGTATAGGTTAATGTGAGCTTAAGTATAAAGCCAAATCTTTTTTGGCATGAAGAAGTTTCAACAAATTTTTGTTTTAATTCTGTCGGTATGAAAAACTTCACTGCAACTAATATTCTAACATCCACATTATCTTTTACAGTAAGGTAAGAAAAAATGTCTTTAAAAATTATACTATATATATTATTAATTGCAATTTTATTATTTGCTTTAAATTTTATACTAAATTTTTTTTTTTTTTTTTTTTTTTGACGTGTAAAAATATATATATATGTAAATACATCCTCATGTTAATAACAAGATTTATATGTAGCAGGGGCGAAAAGAAGACTAATATGTCTTGTCGCCTAGCTCCTTAATAAATTCCTTATATATAAAGTTTAATTTAAAAATAGACCGTTAACTATATAACATAAACAAGCGTAAAATTAATAAAGTAATAAATAAAGTATCTATTATTAAAATATAAATAGAGGTGGGAGTTAAGGTTAGTTTTAGCCTAACTAAAAATACTTAACTAAATTTTTAGTCTAACTAAAATTAGTCAACTAACTTTTTAGTTAACTAAAATTAGTCGACTAACCTTTTAGTAAACAAAAATTACCCGACTAACGTTTTAGTTAACTAAAAATAGTCAACTAAATATTTAGTGCAACTAAACTTTGTCAATTAAAGCAAGATTTAGTGCTTGAAAAAAAAAATCTTTCGCATAAAAATTTTAAACACGAGGAAGCTTTAATTAAGTCGATTAATATTATTTTATTGTAATTAAACAATTTACTAATTATGAATCCCAGAGCCTAATCGAACTAAACCGTTATTCAAAAAAAAAGTTTTAAGCAAAATTTGATTATTTTTACTTTTCGCCAGTTCAGAGACAACTGCCTATGAGGTTGTTGCAACTGTTTATTAACACCCAATCAGCATGGAATATACAAATAAAGCCCTTTAGTCAATTAAATCAAATTTGGTACGCTTAATGAACGTTTAACTTATATTTTTTATGTGCTGCGTGCTATAAGTAGCGTGCAACAATAATCGCACATCAAAAATAATCTCCCCTGTCATGGCCGTACCGACGGTACATGACAGGGGATGTTTACAACATTCTGTCAGTTTTGTCGGTAATTTGGAAAATTTGAGACTCGGTCGGTTAAAACTGAAATTTGGCATTTAAATAAAAAAAAGCCCTACTTTGGTGAGATTTTTATGGTAAAAAAGCTTTTTTCATTTGCACCCCCCCCCCCTCCTTCTACGTTTTCGTTGTTCAGTACAGCCCTGTTCCCTGCCATATTATAGCAATGGATTCAATCTCTAATTTTCACAACAAATCTATGACTCCCTCTTCCCACCCCTTCAAATAGCAATCTCTCCTAACAATTGATAACCACCCCAAATACAAAAAAAAAAATAAAAAAGTAAAAAAAAAACAAAACAGAAAAACAAAATACAGCAGATTGAAAAATACTGTAAAAAAAAAAAAAAAAAAAAAAAAAAACAATGCAGTAGAAACATTTGGCATTCTAGTTCTTCCAAAAACATAAGATATAAAATATTGCGTTTGTTAAATTTATTGTAATGTTAACGTAACCACCACCACAAATACAATTCGCAACATTTATTGTTGCGTCTTCTCTCCTGACTATTCTCATCCGCAAACACTACAGTTAGGCAGGCGAAAGTATTGACATAAACCCAAAAGGTAATCGTTAAATAAGTTATTATGAATATATTTATTGCTTTCAGAGTATAGCTAGTCAGTTGGCGATACTTGCAAAATTTAAAAAGAAGATTGGTATTTGCATTTTAGAATGCAATTTCCACAAAATAAGTTGTTGAATGGTGTATAAAATGTATTAAGTAATACTTAACTGTTGAATAATGAAAACATTTTATTAAGTAACTGGGTCGCTTTTGAAACCAGGAAATTGTTTTTGACATTTTAATTTCTTGAAAAAAATGCAATACGTAGTTTTTAAGCACTTTAAAATACAAGTAAAACCGGGTCAAAACAATTATCAATTAAAGTTCAATTATTTTTTTATTATATTTATTTTTATATTCTTTTATTAGATAGATGATAAAAAAAATTCTAAAGAATATATATAATAAATATTTTAAAAAAAAATCAAACTATAAAAATAATAATAATAATAAAGTTAAAAAAAAAGTTCAGTTTTGGACAACATTATGATAAAACCGCACACTCAAGAACATTAAAATCACATATTAATTTTCTTGATTTTCAATTTTTTCTTTACCATTTTTTTAAAACACATTCTAAATTTAAAAAACTATATTAATTTTTTACATTGTTGCAACAAAAAAAAAAAAAATCAGTTTCACACAAAAGAGTTCGAATACTAAATTTAATAATATTTAAGAACAATAAAATGTATTTAAAAATAATTACTACAAAAAAAAACTTCAGTATTAAATTTAATGAATTTAAACTAAATTTAAAAATTCCAAATTTTTGTGCAAAAATATTAACATTTGAAAACATTCAGTTGTCATTCTGTTTCGCTTTGCTGCATACAAAGTGTTTAATGCATCAGAGAAAAGGCGTTCACTTGATGCACTCCCAGCAAGCACAATCAATGTTGAATCAACGTTGAAAAACCGTTGAAATTTATGGTTGAAAAATGGTTGATTATAGGTTGAAATGAAAACACAAATCAACATTGAAAAAATAACGTTAGATCAACTTTGAAAACAAACCAAAAATCAACGTTAGATTAACATTGATTCAACCAACTTATATATGAGTTTGTAAACCTCATAAATACAGCTTTTTGCGCCGTGACTGTTTTAATCCGAAAAAACATTTATTTTTTGTACATTTTATACATATTGTGATGATATGAGTTAAAAAAAAAACAAACTTGTAATAGCTGTCATAGTACAATATCTTATGCTATTATACTGAACATCTTGTTCTCAATTTTTACAGCTTTCATTTATTATCATAAGTAGTATTATTAATTTATTTATATTATAATACTAACTACTGTTAAAGTATTACAAATAATCTGCCCTGTACCATTTTTTTAACGCAGGTAATTAAATTATAAAAATTAAAAAGCCATTATTGAAAGGAAATAAAACCAAAAATATAATTAATTTATTTTAAGAACAAAAACTTATACAAAATTAAAATTATTTTCAAAACTATTTTGATAAAATCATGATATCTTTATCTTCAACACCTATGTCAAATTCATATGTGTTTTTATCGCCTGCTGTCATCAGACTCATTTTGATTTGATGCATATTTCTCACGATCAAATTAATATGGTGCAAAGTTCAAACAGTCTAAATTCTACCTTTTTGCATTTTTTTTTTATTTAAGAGCATCAGGTAACTGCATCTAAATAAAAATAACTTTAAAGTAATCTGTACATTTAAAAAAAATTTTACTTTATATTGTTCACAAGAGAATGTGAAAATTTAGTGTATTATAATCTACTATAGTATATTTATATGCGCAATTGCTCACTTTATTTGCTTGCCTAAATTAAGTGAGCGTTTTTAGAAAATGATGAGGGAAAACGAAGAATAATGAATGAAAAGGTTGCTGACCCATACCGAACCCTCAGTCGATGTAGCAGCACTCCACTGCGAGTCAGGCTATTTGTCAGTTGATGTATCATATATACACATATATTTGTGTATATATATATATATATATATATATATATATATATATATATATATATATATATATATATATATATATATATATATATATATATATATATATATATATATATATATATGTATATATATATATAATATTAAATGTACATATATAAATGTATATTATGTATACAAGATTAAATTTTCATTTAATTCCAAATTATTAGTACATTTAAGTCGGCGAACCTTCGTATCTAAATTTCAACGTTTAGTTCAACGTTTGTTTTTAGTTGAAAATCAGTGTTGAATCAACGTTGAAACTTCAACGTTGAAATAATGTTGAAATTTAGATCGTTATTTTTCAACCATATATCAACCATTTCTCAACATTGAAATAACGTTGAAACAACGTTTTGTCCTTGCTGGGCTGGTAGTAGGTGTACATAAAATCATTTTTGAAATACAATATAATATTGGAAACACATGTTGATTTTGATGCCAAAAATGTAAAAACATTTTGCTTATTTATGGGCAGTATAAACCACTATTTTTTTTTTTTTAAATCTAAACTTATTATTTTGTCACTATCATTTCTGGAATCATAATCTTCATCGTCAAATGATAACTTAAATTTTTTTGATTTGATTGTCACCTTTTTATTTTTAGTTATACCACAAACTTTTTTTTTCAAATGAAGTTCCGACAAAAATTCTCTAATTCTATTCTTGTTTTTTTAAATTTACCAAGTGACTGTTCTGAAAATCTACATTTGACAACTTACATATCTAAAAAAGTCAAACTGACTTACTAAAGGAGCTAAAAGTTTATTGATGGGATGTCACACACAAAACCAACCAACCCATCCCCTCACCCCTTTGAGCTCACCTTGGTAGCTAATTTAATTCTAAAAATATTTGTGTTTTACCATGTTTACTTTTTGGATTTTTTATGAAATATTTTCTTAAAGTATCTTATAAAACCTTTAGCACTGAAAATTGAATGAAAAATATTTTGATATTTTTTTATTTTTGCGGTATTATGAGGTAAAATGATTATGCATTACCAATCTTATTCAAAAGTTCTAACAGAAATAATATCATGAACCCCAAATTATTTATATTATATTTATAAATTTCTTTAGATGGACTAAAAAAAAGTGGGATATATTTAGTTAACTAGAAAGTTAGTCGGTTAATTTTAGTTAACTAAAAAGTTAGTCGACTAATTTTAGTTAACTAAAAAGTTAGTTGGATAGTTTTAGTTGACTAAAAAGTTAGTTGGATAGTTTTAGTTAACTAAAAAGTTAGTCGACTAATTTTAGTTTACTAAAAAGTTTGTGGACTAATTTAAGTTAGCTAAAAAGTTAGTCAACTAATTTTAGTTAACTAAAAAATTAGTCGACTAGTTTTAGTTAACCAAAAAGTTAGTCGACTAATTTTAGTAACGGTTTTTTTAGTTTAGTTAGTTACGTTTTTTAGTTTTGGTCACAACACTAAAAATAACAAGA